TGAGTGGTCACTATGGGAACCGGGGTCTTCCATCAAAGCGTAGCCTTCCAGGTATTTTATTTGGAGCCCCAATTAAGCAAGGCCAGCTGGCAGATTGGGTGGGGGAAAGGAAGCGGGGAGGGCGGCGTGGGGAAAGTGTGTTTTATGGCCCCTGAGAGAGTGCTGGGGCTATTTATAGCTCCCTAATCGCTGTTGCTAAATGAGTCTTAATGCAAGTCCTGAGCAGGCGCACATTTTCCTTACGGATGAGCATCTTGCTGGGCCTCCCTCCTCCCTCTTACCTCCCCTGGGCGGGGGCAGGGCCTCCTGTGTGCTGGACAGCTGCCCTGCAGGCTACCTGGTCCTTCACCCCGCCTCCAGACGTTCACCTGCAGGCCTTGGCAGACCGGCCATTGGGAATATGGGTCCTGCAGTTATTCTGCCTAGAACTGGAGTTCTGCCCTCCACCCTTCACCACCTTCTCCCCTGCCCTGCCACCAAAGCCAGACCATGAGCAATACCTATGTAAACACCCATTTCTTCTACCCATCAGTATCTCAGGGGTAAACACAGCCTCCCTCACTAAAACAGCAGGGTTAGCTGTGTGCAGTGGTCCATGCCTGAAATCTCGGTGAGTCAGGAGGCCAAGGCAGGAGGATCTAGGAGGATCTTGGGTTCAAGGCCAGTCTGGGCTACCTAACGTGTTCCAGGCCTGCCTGGGCTGCACAACCGAGACCTTGTCTCAACAACTGAACAAACAGTCGGGCGCGGGTGGCTCACGCCTGTCATCCCAGCTGCTCAGGAGGCTGAGATCTGAGGATCGCGGTTCAAAGCCAGCCCGGGCAGGAACGTCTGTGAGACTCTTGTCTCCAATAAACCACCAGGAAACCAGAAGTGGTGCTGTGGCTCAAGTGGTAAAGAACTAGCCTTGAGCTAAAGAGCTGAGGGACAGCGCCCAGGCCCAGAGTTCAAACCCCACAACCGACCAAAAAAAGAAAAAAAGAGCAAACAAACAGTAAATAAAGAAACGATAATAAAGCAGTGAGTTAGCCATCACCCCATATCTGACAGAGAAAGAAAGGTCAGAGCGATGGAGGCACAGACACCCACAGACAGGCGTTGTCTCTGCGATGCGGGTCTCTGTCACGCCTGTTCTGCCACCGAGACGAGTTGCATCCGTCAGGACCGGCCAGGTCTTGCCGCAGTAACACACAAAGCCACCGCTCACTGACTTCAAACAACAAAATGTTTGGTTTGTCCTGTATGAGGTGCTCATCGAGGTCCTCATTTCAGGTCCAGGAGAGGAAGAGCTGGCCCTAATGGTCAGCTGTGGGAAAAAAAAGAAAGCAACGCTCATCCTAGCTCCTTAAAGTTCCCAGCTGGCCAGCTGGAAGGGTGGCAGTCCCCTCTCTGGTGTGCCAAGTCTGGTGGCCACACCTAAATCCAGGTAAGCAGCTGGCTGGAGGCCCGAGGCTAGACCATGGGAGCCCAGGCTGTCTACAGAAGCAGAGTCTCAGAAGAGACATGAACTCGCTCAGAACCCTGGATCCAAAGGGACCAGGCAGGGATTTGAACTCTCAGTTGTTGGCTGGCGTTCTTAGATCAGACTTCTGGTTGGGCAATCCCATCTCTGATGATTCACCAGCCATGGGTCAGCTTTGCTGACCACTGAGCCATAATTGGGTAGCCATGAAATGAAGACACTAAGTAGGACCAACTCCTTTGGCAGAGATGCAACCTGAAGGGACTTAATCGTAGTTCAGTAAGCACCCAGCTTCAGCCGGCTGGGCGCTGTCCCTCAGCTCTACAGCTCAAGGTGAGTGCTCTACCACTTGAGCCACAGCACCACTTCCAGTTTTCTGGTGGCTCATTGGAGATAGGAGTTTCATGGACTTTCTTGCCCAGGCTGACTTTGAACCGTGAGCCACAAATCTCAGCCTCCTGAGCAGCTGGGATGACAGGCGTGAGCCACCGGCACCCAGCTTACTGAATCTTTTGAGTGAAGGAAGGAGGGAGCTAGGGAATAAAACCATGCAAGGATTAAGCATACTCACTAGTTTTGCTGAACTAAAGGAAAACAAGCTCTCTACCATCTCCTCTGGGCCCACTTCTGAGCTCATACTTGGAAAGGTCCAAAATACACAATCAGTGCATTGGCAGGAGTGAGCCCAGGGCTAACTCCCAGGGTCTTCCCAGCGGGGTGGTGTGTGTTGGTCCTTGGCATCCAGCTGAGGAACAGGACAGCGGTGCCAGTTGTCCACGTGGCTGCCAGGTACTTGCCCCAGCTGACCGTTTTCTTTTTTTTTCTTTTTCATTTTGGTCCAAGACTGGGACTCAAACTCAGTACTTGATGCTTTTTGCTCATCGGCTAGTGCCTAATCAACTGAGCTATGCCTCCAGCTCCTCTACTTACTTTTCTGTGTTCTTTCTTTCTTTCTTTCTTTCTTTCTTTCTTTCTTTCTTTCTTTCTTTCTTTCTTTCTTTCTTTCTTTCTTTCTCTCTCTCTCTCCCTCCCCCCCCCTCTCCTCCTTCCTTCCTTCAAGTTGTGGGGCTTGAGTTCAAGGCCTGGGTGCTGTCCCTGATCTCTTTGGATCAAGGCTAGCACTCTACCACTTTGAGCCACAGCACCACTTCCAGTTTTTTTTTTTTTGGTGGTTCATTGGAGATCAAGAGTCTCACAGACTTTCCTTCCCTGGGCTGGCTTTGAACCATGATCCTGAGATCTCAGTCTCCTGAGTAGCTAGGATGACAGGCGTGAGCCGCCTACTCCTGGCTCCTTTTTTCTTTGGTTTTGATGCTGGGACTGGGACTTGAACCCAGGGCCCTACATCCTCACTTGGCTTTTTCACTGGAGATTGGCATTCTTACCACTTTGAGCCACACCTCCATTTCTGGCTTTTTGTTGGTTAATCTGAGATACGAGTCTCACAGACATTCCTTCCCTGGGCTTCGAACCTCAATCCTCAGATCTCAGCCTCCTGAGTAGCTAGGATGACAGGCGTGAGCCACGGGCTCCCGGCTAAGATGGCAGTGTTTTAAGGACTATCCCGAGCAGGGTTCCATGGTGCTCAAGGCTCCCCTGGAGTTCTTTGCACATCTTCAGAGAGATGCCAAGCGGACTCCTCGGTCCTCCTGCATCGATGGCGATGGCATTTGCATCCTTCCCTTCGGCGTTCTCCCCCGCTCCTCTTCCCACCCCCCCTGCCTACCCCCATCCTTGGTGACACCCTCTGTGTAAGTGAAGTAACTAGAGCTCTCTCACTCCTGGGGAAAAAATGGGGGCCCCACCTGGGCTCTGGGGACGCTCGCTGACCAGGTCATGTGACCCTGTCCTTGTCACAGCCTTTGGCTGGGGAAGCACTAAAGCCCAGGCAAATTCCAGATGCTTTCTAGATAGGAGCCCGGGCCTCTTGGCGGGCCGAGATCCTGTTCACATCTAGTTCTGTATTGTCAGACGCAGCAGCGTGGCATCGTACACGCCTGTCCATTTGGCGTAAACGATGACGTGGACCGGCAGCTGACCGGCAGAGCGGGAGGAGATATAGGTCAGAGAGGTGATGCCAGATTTCATCCTGACAGTACCCAGGACTGAACCCAAGGCCTCACGCTTGCTACGTACAGACTATACCGCTTGGGTCACACCTCCAGTTCTTCCGTTGGTTGAGTGTTCTCACTCCCTAGACCACAGCCTCCAGTGCAGGATCTTCCTGCCTACTCTTCCTGAGAAGCTGGGAGCATAGACACACGCAATCGCACCCGGCCATGCCGTCCTCCTTTCTTTTCCTGAAAACCAACAGCGTGCAGGGCAGATCTACCAAGTTCAGAATTCCACGCTGTCATCAGACACACGGGTCTGAAATTACCACAGAGGAATTTTTACCTTGTGACTTTGAATGGTTGATCTTTTTTTTCAAACTATGAGCTGAGGAATGAGGAGAGGGTGGTGCGTCATGTCTTGGCCAGTCCTGTCTGCTGGGTGGGATGAGACCAGAGGCCCAGGGAAACAGCTGGAGACACCAGATCGCCGTGCCAAGACCCCCACCCTCTTCTTTCTCAGACAGGACCATGGTGAGCTAAATCTCTCCGCTCCCCTTCCCCACTTTATATTCATTTGTTTATTTCTGTGTCAGTCCTGGGGCTTGAATGCAAAGCCTATTCGCTGTCCCTAAGCTTTTGTGCTCTAGGCCAGCCCTCTACCACTTGAACCACAGCTCTGCTTCTGGTTTTTGAGTGGTTCATTGGAGATAAGAGTCCCTCGGGCTTTCCTACCTGGGCTGACTTTGAACTTAGATCCTCAGATCTCAGCCTGCTGAGTAGCTAGGGTGACAGGTGTGAGAACCTGGCTAAGTCCCCCTATTTTAAGGATGGCAGCCGAGACCCTGGAAGCCCCGGGGCTCTGCCGGTCCATGCAGGGGCTTGGAGATGCAGAAGAAGGAGGATGAAGTGGAGAGCCCCCGCAGGGTTCCCTTGTGCTGTTTTTAGCATCGATCTAGACATGAAGCTTTGGCTCCACCAATTCTTCATCCAGATGACATTGTTGTCAATTAGGATGGTGTGCTGAGAGATCTTTTTAGAAGCACAGTAAGCAAATCTGAACCTTTTTTTTTGGTCGGTCCTGGGGCTTGGGCTCAGGGCCTGGGCGCTGTCCCTGAGCTTTCTCCACTCAAGGCTAGCGCTCTTCCACTTTGATCCACAGCTCCACTTCTGGCTTTTTGGTGGTTAACCAGAGACAAAACAGTCTCACGGACTTTCCTGCCCGGGGCTAGCTTCGACCTGCAAATTCTCAGATCTCAGCTTCCTCCTACGTAGCTAGGATGACGGGCATGAGCTACCATCGCACCCATGTGGGAACATGGTTTGAGGCTGACTTGCAGAGAGAAGTGGAGAGGGGTTCTGTTTACGTGGCGGACGCACCGGAATGCCTGTGTGGCACAGAGCTTTCAGGAGGGCTTTCTTTGCCCTGGTTACCACAGCCCACCAGGCCCAGGAGCCCCTAACACTCACTTCCCCTCTCTCTACAGCCGAACCCCTCCCTCTCATGGACCTGTGCCGGAGAGCCATCCGCTTGGCCCTGGGCCGCCATCGCCTGCAGGACATCAGCGCCCTGCCCCTGCCCGAGGCCCTCAAGAACTACCTGCAGTACCAGTGACCAGTGCTCAGGGCGGTGGGCAGCCTGCGGGGCTGGGGTGCCTCACAGCCCCCACCGCGTGGACCCCAGGGCCCGGGACGCCCGATGCCCCCAGGATACCTGCAGGCCTGGGCAGGAACTTTCTGATAGCCGCCCCACCCCCTCTGCCAAGTACGGACTGCCCAGAAAACAGCCTAACAGGCCCGCGCTTCCCGAAGGGCCTGGAGTGTTCCTGCTGCGGGGGTCGTGGGGTGGGGGGAATCCTGTACCTGGAGCCGGCCCAGCCTCCTGGACCTAAGAGAAACCCCACAGGAAACTGTGACATGGCCTCTTCCCACCCAGGAAAAGTGACCAGGACAGCAGACCGCCCTGACCGGGAGGAGCTGGGGCCACTTCAAGATCACCCCCAGACAGTGGACAGAAGGGCTTTGGGGCCGCCTTTGACTCTGAACATTTGAACCTCTTTGAACGGTGTCTTCTTTATCCCCCATCTCTACCCGGCCATTGGCAGAACCCTGTGATCACCCCCATTCTCCTCCATCCAGGAAAGGGGGGTCTGACTCACGAAGGGCACAGTGTACCCCTTGCTTCTGATCATTTTAAGTAGCATTGGAATCTTCAAAAATATTTTTAAAAATTAAAAAAAGGAGCCAGGTGCTGGTGGCTCACGCCTGTCATCCAAACTACTCGAGAGGCTGAGATCTGAGGATCACAGTTCAAAGCCAGCCTGGGGCAGGAAAGTCCCTGAGACTCTTATCTCCATTGAACCACCAGAAAACTGGAAGTGGTGCTGTGGCTCAAGTGGTAGAGCGCTCGCCTTGAGCTGAAGAGCTGAGGGACAGTGCCCAGGCCCAGAGTTCAAGACCCATGACCGACCAAAAAAAAAAAAAAAAAAAAAGAGTGTAGTGAGGACAGTCCTGAGTCCAGAGTCCAGGGGAGGCCTTGTGACCGCAAGCCCAGGGGTGCTGGAGAACGGGGTGGCCTCTGCCTGCATCCAGTCAGGGCATAATCTTAGGGTGTCACAAAGCTTTCTGTGAGCCAATTATTATTGTTATTGTTACGTGTGACGTGTTTTATTTATCAGCTGGGAGGCAGCTAGCCACTGGAGGGGGGGGGGGACGTGGGCCTCTCACAGGTCAGTGCTGCTGCTGCTACCCTCCCACGGCCATCCTGACAGCGCTGTGTGGTTCCGAGGCCCCGCCCCCTCCCTTTCAGCTGGAAATGATCACAGCATTGGGGTGCCAGAGGGCCCCCCCAGTGTCCTTCCCCCTCTCCCCATGGCTGCCTCTGCCCACTTCACTGTGAATTTGACTCAAGAGCGAGGTGCGTTTCTAATAAAGTGTGTCATCCAACCTCTCTGCTTTTTACGAGGTGTTCTTGGGAAGAAAAAGGGGCCCGGATTTCTGCTTCCATCTTCGTGCTTCTGTCTGGGGGTCCCAGCCTGAAGCCTAGATCCTTCACCCCTGCCCCCAGTTAGTCTGCAGAGGCCGGGCCCAGAGGAGAGGTGTGCCTGTGTCCTGCGATGCTGGCCATGGTGAAGGAAAACCAAGTTTAAGCAGGGTGCGTTGCTCATACCTGTCATCCCAACTTCCCAGGAGGCAGAGGTAGGAGGACCGAGGTCTGAGGCCTGCTCAGGCTCAAAACGTAAGACTCTCTGTGACTGCTCTGCTGTTCTGTTCTTTATTTTGTTCCACTGATCTATTTGATTTTCCTGTGTTCACTAATGTAGCATCCTGGCCCCTGTAGCTTCCCATCACGTGGTATTGCTTCTTCATCTTGGCTCTTTAGAACAAAGGCTTAAGAGAATTCTGCCCAGCTGACTTTCCATCTAACCTGACTAAGCAGATAGTCAATTTCTCCTGAAGAGAAAAGTCACTTTGATTTCAATAGGGATTTCACAAAATCGATAGGCTAAGAAGAACCAACTTCATAACAATAGTGGGTCTTTTAATTTGTGTAAAAGCCATGTGCCTCTGTTTACTTCTCTAATTTCTCTCAGAAGTGTCTGATAGTTTTTGTGGGCAAATCTTTCACAGACGGTGAGATTCAGAAATAAGGGTTTACTTGGTGGATGCTGTTATGAACTTTTTAAACAGTTTTCATTTTGGATCAGTGTTTACTTACTCTACAGCATTAAACTATTTTTTTCATATCTCAGCTTTGTTTCCAGTTAACAATGGTGCACCTGAATATTAGTTCTGGTGTTTTGTGGTAGGGGTGTGTGTGTGTGTGTGTGTGTTTTGTGCCTGTACTGAACTGGGGCATGAACTCAAAGTCTGAGTGCTATCCCTGACCTCTTTTGCCCAAGGCTAGTGCTTTACCACTTGAGCCACAGATCTACTTTTCGTGGCTAATTGAAGATAAGAATCTCATGAACTTCCTTGCCCAGGCTGGCTTTGAACCTCGATCCTCAGATCTCAGCCTCCTGAGTAGCTAGGATGACAGGTGTGAGCCACCAGCACCTACCTCGGGACTGGGGTTTGAACTCCAGAACTGGTGCTTGCTCGGCTTGCTCTCCCACTTGAGCCACACCAGGGACATGACAGAAACCACAGCCACAGTATGCAGCCATCCCTTACTGGGTATTTCTTGCAAGTCTAGCCAGCTACATGGCCCTTTAGAGGAGGAAAAAAAAAAAGACAAATGAGAGAGGGCTGATGGCTTGGGTGCGAAGAGAGAAAATTACTTTCCATGACCCGGAAATGAGCCCAAGTTGCGTGCTGTGTCTAGGTCACTAACTTGCTGCTTGCTTTCTTTGTTTAAACTTTTGTGGTGCTGGCACTAGAGCTTGAACTTGGAGCCTGAGCGCTGTCCTTTAGCTTTTTCCGCATGAAGCGGGCACTTTACTGCATGAGCCATACCTCTACCTTTGCCACTTTGCTGGTTCATTGGAAATAAGAGTCCCCAAGACTTTCCTGCTCAGGCTGGCTTCCAGCTGCAATCCTCAGATCTCAGCCTCCTGAGATGCTCCTGAGATTACAGGCTTGGATCTACTGTCTCCAGCCTTACTTGCTTCGTCTTGATCTTCAAGATGAAGGTTGCCTGGTCCAACCTTAGTGTGAGTGGACGCTGTCCAGCAATGCCTACTGTCTCATGACAGAGGCTGTGGGCAGCTAGAAGGGGGAGTCCTGGGCTTTAGGATGCCCACATATTTCATGAATGAAAAACCATGCACTAGGAACACACACACACACACACACACCAGGCCCCTCTCGAAGACACCATCTGTTTGGAGGTCTGAGTCTTTGGCTTGATCTTTTTCTGAGGGCCAAAAAGCTGGTGCACATGCGCACACTGCAGTGCCAAGGCTGCCTTCACCTTGTATACACTCGTCCATGATTTTACTGAACTTCTTAACACCCCAGAGAGGCCTGGCTTTCCGTCATTCTGTGGGGTGTTGGCCCCCAGCTGAACGTTCATGCTACAAGGAACCGGGTTTGAAACGTGAACCGCTAATGTCACCTACCTTAATATCATCAGTGTTTGTCTTGATCATAAGCCATTTGAATTCTAGCTGCTGTGGGAGTTCCGGTCACCCTGGTGTGTTCTCGCTGAGGTTTTTAAATAAGACATCAGTGTGGCCGCCACCATAGAGGCCTAGGTTCATTTACTCGCTGTTTTTAAGCAAACTAACTAGATGGTGAATAGCTTATTCATCAATAAAGTTTTAAATGCCACTTATGGTGTACTTGAAAGGGTGGGGGAAGGGCGGGGAAATGTGTTGCTAGCAGCATTTGTGGGTTTTGTCGTTTTTTTTTTTTTTTTCTCAGAGTCAGTATTGGGATTTTACAGAAAGCCCAGCATGCGGCCAGAGGTCACTGTCTCTGCCCCACAAAGAGGCCATTGTCACAGAGAAGTACCACGGAGGCACTTCTTTCTTTTTCTTTAAATGGCTGTTAAAAATTTGACTGTTCCCAAACCTGGCTATGCATCAAAACCACTTAAACCATCAGGTTCCGGGGACCAGGACGGTGGTGGGTGGTGACGGTAATCTTAACTACTACTAAGAAAGCAGAAGCAGGGGGATTGCAGTCTGAGGGCTGGCCCAGGAAGTCAGCTGAAACCTTATGTGAACAAAAAAAAGAAAAGAAAAGATAAACTAAAGTCAGGGCTGAAGTGTGGCTCAAGCAGTAGAGCATCTGCTTAGCCGGAGAGAGAACCTGAGTTCAAACTCCAGTACCATCCAATACCAAAAAAAAAAAAAAAAAAGTTTCTGTTGTGCTAATGGCTCACGCTTGTAATCCTAGCTACTTAAGAGGTCGGAAAGGTGACAAGAGAAAGATGAGAAGCCTAGCTACTCAGGAGGCTGAGATCTGAGGATCATGGTTCAAAGCCAGCCTGGGCAGGAAAGTCCATGAGACTCTTCTCTCCAATGAACCACCAGAAAACTGGAAGTGGCGCTGTGTCTCAAGTGGTAGAGCGCTTGCCTTGAGCTGAAGAGCTGAGGGACAGCGCCCAGGCCCAGAGTTCAGGCCCCACGACCGACAAACAAAAAGGGTGGGGGGGGAAGCTTGCAGTTCATTTGTGCTCACCTAGGCTGGAAGCAAGACTGACCCTATATCAGAAGTGACCAGTGCAAGCAAAAGGGCTGGAGGCCTAGCTCAGCGGTAGAGCAACTGTCCGGCTAGCACAGTCCTGAGTTCAACCCCCAGTACTGCAAAACCAGGGGTGTTGGGAAATTTGAGTGCAGCTAGCTCCTAGAACTAAGATAATGCCAAAGGTTTACTTTGTTTTGTTTTCCTTGTTGGTCGTGGGGCTTGAATTCAGGGCCTGGGCACAGTCCCTGAGCTCTTTCACTTGAGGCTAACTAATACTCTAATACCATAGCACCACGTCCGGTTTTCTATGGTTTGATTGGAGATTAGAGTCTCACACAGTTTTCTAAAGCTCAGGCTGGCTTTGAACTACAGTCCTTAGATCTCAGCCTCCTGAGTAGCTAGGATGACAGGCGTGAGCCACCCTCACCCAGTCTATCCTGCCTTTAACATAAAAAACAAAAATCTCTGACCATACTGGAGTTT